CTACTACCACTCCTACTCCTACTACTCCTACTCCTACTACTCCTACTACTACTACTACTACTACTACGACGACTACTACCATTACTACCGTTACTACCACTACTACTACTACTACTACTACTACTACTACTATGACTATGATGCCAGTACCACCAAGACTACCACACCACTACTTCCACGAAACTGGAACAGTGATTGCATGAACAGTATTAGCAGTAACAACAATAGTGACAATACCAACACCAATCATACCCGCAATCGTAATACACTGTGTTGAGCCTCTTTTGGACGCAGAACACAGAGAACATGCTTGAGAACCGAACCTTTGGGGAGTGGATGGGCTTTCTATCAAACTGCAGATCTGTTTGAGCCTAGGCCCTCAAGAAGCGTTCACTCTCGTGAGGCAGCCCGAAGGTTGCAGCACAAAAGGCAAGGCCACACCTCGACTGTTCTGCGTGGCAGTTCCCGCTTTGGGGCTAAGGGCTCAATGGTTCGATGAAGTGCTACTGCGCTCCAAAGGGTCCCACACTCCGGCGAGGGCCTCGCATGGGAACTTTGTGCGGAACGGCCGAGCAGGGTGCGTATGGAGATTCTAACTTCTAGGTGGCTGCTTGTATGAACGCAAGCCCCCACATGCGGAAAAGAAGCAAGCATTGTCACGCACGCTGACGGGCAGCCATTGGAAATCGGAAATCCCGAAAAGTAAGTTAAGCCACATGTACCGCCAAAGTCATTAGAAAGTGTTTCAATGGTGCGGAGAAGTGAAAAGGTGACCTGAAGCACGGAGACAAATGATCGTCAGCCAAGCAGAACGCGAAAACGAAGTGATCCGAGGCGGGTCGATAAATGACTTTGAAAGTGATTTGAATGTGATTTACCGCTTTTTCAGGAAACAGGTCACATAGAAAACTTGTTCAATACAGTACACAGTACTCATGCATACAGAGGGTTAAGAAAACTAGTGGTTTAACGCCTTGACTGGAACTTCCGTTTGCGAGTCTAGGTCGCCAGGCCTTAGGTGCCTAGTGACCTAGGTAGAAGGAAATGCAGTTTCGCAACAGAGCAAAGCAACTTAAAATTAATGTTACAGAATCCACATCAAATTGAATTCAGTTTTCCGACCCCAGGTCACTTTGAGGTCACCTATCCAGGCCCCTGGTCACTTGAAAAACCACTTTTCCAGACCGCCAGTTGACTTTGAAATAGCTGAGGCACCTTCTAGCCTTTAGTCACTTCTCTGATCTGAGCCGTGTTTGCTGGCGCAAGTAGTAGTAGCAAGAATGACGTGATTAAGGGGGCTTGTACAATGAAAGACAATGGACGAGTAACACAAAGATCCCGTGATGTCAAAGTCTCTGCGGCACCTTTCCAAACAGATCCTTTCAAACCAGGGGTTTAGGATGGAGACTGCACCATGAACCGCCGCTTGTTATCGCTTACCCCAGGCTACGTGTTCATTTCTTCTCTGTTTTAGCTCATTCCTTCTGACAAAAGTCGTCGTCCTCAAATCGAGGGTCATGTCCAAGCCCTTTCGTTCCATTCTCCAAGATGACTTACGGTAGTTCAAAACAGTACCAGTTCAAAATGAATTGAGTGGGCCGTTCAAGCGTTGATCATGAAATAAATTTTTCCTCTGCCATCTTGTCGTGACAGCTGTTGACTGCTCTTGTTTCGCAGACACATCCCGGTCGCCGCAGCGCTGGCAAGGCTGGGATTCTGCGAGGCTTACGCATCATGCCATCCGTTGAGGATCTGACGAGCCAATCCCTAAATAATCATTGCGCGATAGGCTGCAAACCTTAGGTCTATTTGTTCGGGGTTCTCCCGAAATTGCACAGGGCTCGCCTCGCCAAGGCGGAGGACCCCGCCATTGTCGCAGCTCGTGCCGGAGATGTGGAGGTGCAGTGGTGCAGGGCGACAGGTCAGGTATTTTCGTGCCGATACGCCATTAAGTCTATGTCTTGCACCTTAGCTACTTGAGGTATTCCAAGGTCCAGGATAGAACAAAAAGAGCAAGCCTTGATATCTCGACGAAGTGACTACGGTAGAAAGTGCTGCAGATGCATGATCCATAGCATTGCGATACCAAGAGCAGTAACGGTATGAAGAACAACCAGCAAGACAGACAGTGCCAGCAGCAAGAAGTGCAATGTCCGGTGGCACAGGTCCGAGTCTTGTTCCGAGTACATGTGCGTCTTGAAGCCACAACACAGTACCAATTGGCAAAAACACCAACAGTAATGTGTTGATGTTTGCAGGCCCTCCGCGGCATGAACGCCATGGAAGTGCTGGCAGTCACGGAAACTCGCCTTCACGGAAGTCAGCTGCGAGCTGCGTTCCGAGAGGGACGGCCATCAGGGGGTGCCGAGCTGGCAGACTCAAGCGCAGGAGGCTGCAGACATGAAAAGCTCGAATGGCAACAGGGAACCTGGAAGGTTTTAGAACTCATCTTAAATCTCAAGATGTTGTAGGGTTTGCGATCCTACATCTGTATTATACAAACAAATCCTGCCGGCCTGGTGCATTGATGTATCTTATTGTCTTGGGTTCTAATTACCTAAGCGGCGCTTTTTGCATGCGACACAATGCTTAGGACCACAATGGATGCGGCTGCTGCTTGGCCATTCGTTCTGAGGGCAACCGTTCAACACCATGTGATTAAACCTTCAGCATGTCATCGCATTTAACTGTACAGGATGTCTTGACAGACACATGGACTAGATACGCACATGTGTTATGCATACATGTTCTTTACGTGTCTAAGTACATACAGACAGACAGACGTACATACCCACATACAGACATAGAAAAAGGTAGATAGATCGGAGTCTCGCCCGGAAGGTGGTGTACCTTGAGGCCTTGAGATCTCAGCCGAGCTGTCCCACACAGGCATTGGCAAAGTTGAGGTGACGGCGCCCGTAACGCGCGGTGCGTTCAAAACACTTGTCAGGTGTCAGGGTGTTTTTTTCCTGTTTAGGTGGGGCCGGGGGCAGGGGAGGGGGGGGGGGGGCATCGGTGCGGGGNNTTCGTACAACATACTGTGCAAGGATGTGGAACAAGACGCGCTGTCACAAGCATGTCAAGCCTTAGCTGGCTTCTGCGAGAAGTGTAAGGCTTGACAGAGTTTCGCTGGGAGTCTGCACGAAAACGCTGCCGCCGCCTAGGTTTTTGCGCTGTAAACCTCAAAAATATGGGATGTTTCAAGGAGTTGTGCCCTTCTGCTTGATGCGTTTTCCTGTAAATTGTGCGTTTTCCCGGGGTTTTGGCAACGTGCAACAACAAGGTATGTGCAAAAAAACAAGGTGCACTACAGGCGCCGTTACCAAAGTTGAGGCGGGAGGACATCTTCATTCTGAACTTATGGCCGTACAAATGACCTCGCTCCATGTTCCAAGCTCACGAATCCTTTGACCAGTATCCAGTTTTGATCGAGGCTTCCATTGGGCAGCAGGTACGCGGCCAGAAGCTGTAGCGTCAAGCGCAGTTCTAGCAACGTGCGTGGGCAGCGCTAGGTGCAAGCATGCCATCCAACAGATCAGGGCACAGCAGGGTTCTTGGACCGGAATTCCCAGCAGGCAACGGCCACCTCCACGTGTTGCGGCTCCTGGCTCACTGGGCGGCGGAGACCATGTCCGCCCTGGAGCCCCTGTAGAGCTGGCGAGTCTTTCCTCTGCCAAAGGCAACCGACGACATTGCGAACTTGCTCGACTGAACTAGCCGTACCTGGCCCCTGCCTCCCATTGCATCCCAGCATCACATTCTCAAAATGTGCGCAGATGTTGTAGCCAGGACGTGGAATCAACGCACACCCTTCCACTACGCTGCGCGAAATGGGCAGCTCGAGGTGTGGGGCCCAAGCGGGTCAACGGAGAACGCTTTTCTGTAAAGTCTTGCGTTGTGCTCGCAAGTGGGTTTCCAAACTGCGCATCAGCCGCTCGTCGGATCGGCTGATTAGCTGGTCGGGTTTAGGGTTTGTAAGGGTTTAGGGTTTAGGGGTTTAGGGGTTTAGGGTTGAGGGTTGATTGGCTGATTGGCTGATCGGCTGATGCACGGTTGTGGGCCCAAAAGCCACGCACTCTGAAACCTTGGAAATCCAACTTGGAAACCTGTCACATCTATTTTCCCGTTCTCCACTTCGTGCTGTTATTTAGTTTAGCCATTGTTACAGGCCAGTTCTGTTGCCGCTACAGCAACCAGCTTCTGCCGATTAGCACACGCAGGCTATTTTTTCAATGGTTAGCGATGCTTGGGCGACATGCGGCACGCATTTACATTCCCTGACGCATTGTTATTCTTGTGGTTGTTGCTAATGGTGGTGTTGTTGTTGTTATTCTCCTTATTGTTCTTATCATGATTATTACTATCATTATCATTATCATTATCATCATCATCATTATTATTATTGTTATTATTATGATTTTATTATTATTTTATTATTGGTGTTGCTGTTGTTGCTGTTGTTAATTGTTGTTGTTGTTGTTGTTGTCGTTGTTGTTGCTGTTGTTGTTGCTGTTGTTGTTGTTGTTGTGGTCGTTATCGTTGTCGTCGTCGTTGTTGTTGTTGTTGTTGCTGTTGCTGTCGCTGTCGCTGTAGCTGTTGCTGCTGTTGCTGCTGTTGTTGTTGTTGCTGCTGTTGCCGTTGCTGCTGCTGTTGCTGTTGCTGCTGTTGTTGTTGTTGTTGGTGGTGGTGGTGGTGGTGGTGCTGTTGTCGGTGTTGCTGTTGTCGGTGTTGTCGGTGTCGTCGGTGTTGTTGTCGTTGTCGTTGTTCTTGTTCTTGTTCTTGTTCTTGTTGTTGTTGTCGTTGTCGTTGTTGTTAGTGGTACTACAACAAAGACCTCACCGAACAGGACGTTCTGGAGCTGATTCCGCGTGGATTAGCACTCTCGCCGGACCACCCAGGCTACTTGTGCTGTGCTTTCTGCAAAAGCAAGAACCAGGTGGGACAGTTTACACTCTTTCCCACTGGCAACGGCATGAAGAATCACTTCAAGCGGTCCCGCCATGATGTTCGCGAGCCTCAAGTGCCCGACAACCCGCAGCCGACCGCTCCCACCCTGCGTCGGTTCCCCCCACCGCCTTCTCCTCCCATTCCTCCCGCTCCGGCAAAGTCTAAGGCCCCTCCTCCGAGCATCACTCCAACCCCCGAGCCACGTTCGCCCAAGGCAGCAGGGCCGACACCCGTCCCGGTGTCGGATCAGACGCCAAAGCCGCCCCCAGGCCCTCCCCCAGGTTCGGCTAACCGTCAGGACCCAGGACCCACCCCCAAGAAGGCCAAACCTGCTGCCGGCAAGAGCAAGGCCGAAGGCGCCTCTACTCCACCCCCGCCCCCCAAGGCACCGCCGCAGTACGAGCCGCCCAAATTCAATGCTCAGCAGATGTCGTATTTGCCGCAATTGACGGACTATGACGACATTCCACTGACCAAGGAAGGTATTCAGCTTGAGCTTCAGTCTGCTACAACGCAGGACTGGATTCGAGCTCTGGCCAACTTCCAAGTCCTGGGCTCGCCTGTTATTTTGGGTGGATTACAGTCGCAAGAGCAACGACCTCTCTGGGCCAAGAGGGTTCGAAATCTTTCAATGGTTCCCACGCTTTTTCAAGCCATTACCAGAGTGAGGACGGAAAGAGGACTCACTTGGGAGAAGATCCTCACTGTGCGACAGGCACTTACCAAGGAGGGCAAGGTTACTGTCGCTACGGGTCATGACGAGACCTACGTCGAGCTTGCCAGTCCTACCAAAATTCATGGACTCGTAGGAGCCTTGTTTCAGAAGATGTGGACACATCCGGATTTCACGCGCTTCTTCACCATTCGCGAGCTCACCAAGTACGAAAACTGGAAGCTCTATGACATGATCTCCTCCACCCTCATGGCGGTCTACAACCATTTTTGCAGTGAAGCAGGTCTCACATCCAGGATGCTTCGACGAAAGTATCCAGAGTTGGGGGTCCGTATTGTTCATGATGCAGAGGCAAAGATAGATCCCAACACTGGCCTTTCGGAACGCCACAAGCGGGCCTTGCGCATGGGCTCCCAAGCCCACAAGCGTCCCAAGGACTCCAACCAGGGGGGTCACCAGCCCTGGGCGGCCGAGTGGTCAGACCATGAGGAGGACGACGACCACTGGCAGTCATGGAGGTCTCGCGACGAAGCATGGGACAACTGGGGTCACTGGCAGGATCAACGACGGGCATGGCACCAGGACGTCTCTGACGTTCGTCCAGCTCCTGGTCTAGGCCTGCCTCCCGGACACATCCCTGAAGCCGAGGCACAGCTCTCTGATGCAGGGCACAGCCCATGCATATCTGCATATTTGGTGTCTCTCGAACACCCTTCCAAGCAGCGATCATTCGCTTGCGCCTGTCGTGGCTGCCTGTTGATAGTCTCATGCTGCAATTGTTGCAGTGGAGATGAGGTCAGCTGCCTTTTTTACAGCTCGCTAATCGCAAAAGAGCGTTTCTCTCGCAGATGTTACGACCACTGCCTTGCCCATGATGCGTTTCCACGATCTCAGACTTCAGGTACAGCAAGCTACACACTTGGATACCGTGATCTTTCCCTTACGGCCCATCGCCTTCGTCTGTAAGTGACC